TTGCCTTGAAAACTGCAAGGACTCATCCAAGCAGTCACTGCAGAGTCGGTAACGACTGAGCGCAGATTAAAAAAAAATGTATTCATAATTGCCTTTATTTTGTACAGGATTATTGACATATCGGAAAACATAGGAAGTTATTAGAAATGTGTAACAAGAAATGCTATTCCCCTTCTAAATAAATCCTCCCCACTAACCTGTGCCTTAGTAAATTATCAATGTTTTTTAAAAGTGTTATCGTTGCTGTGGCTGTGAGGAATATGTTTTTGTGTGTTCATATCTGAGAGGGACAGTGAGAGCCCATTTCCCAACCATCAGCATGTTCATTCTATTGCCCAGCCACTGTTGAAAGTATATGAAGCCTGTCATCATGGCTGCTATTTTGACACAATAGTGGTTGGATGACACTAGACCACACTAGAAGAAATCACTGCTAGGAAATGCAAAGAGAGAACATGCATGTGTAGATTCTGAGTTTATATAGATACAGTATGGTGGATGCGTGGATGAAAGTTTGTGAATTGGCATCAGCAACAGATTTGGTGAAAACAACCACGTCCCTGAAACAGAAGGGAAGAGAGGTGTAATAGAATAGCAAAGTTAAAATTAAATGGGAGGTCATTTGAAGAGTCAAGAAGTCGTGAGAGGGCAAGAAAACTATGGATTCAATCAGGAAATCTCTCCATCTGTTGTGTGGCAATTTTTCCCATCCCGTGACATATTTTATAAATGACTTTATTGGGTTGACTTCTCCTGCTCCTTTCTTTTTATTCTTACCACTTCTGTAGTGGAACAATAATATGCTTCTTACCTTTTCATCCCTTTTTTTCTAGGACTGTAAAAGGTAGAAACTTTTTCTCTTTGATCAAATTTTCATGCCCTGCTCCAATCTTTCATTTCCATTTATTTCTACAGATTCCTTACTCTGCTGCTTGTTAAAGCACCACTTGTTCCCTGAAAGAGAGGAAAAAAGTGGGGGGGGAGGAGACTTCCTCATCCTATCTCACCAAATCTGGACTTCTCAAAAAGTGGACAAATTTGAGAAGCATCTAAGAGCGGTTTACCTAAAGCCTAAGAATTTGGTTCATCAGAAGAGGGAAAACAGATATGTCTGTCATGGCAAAGACCAGTCTTTACCATGCAACCTGGCATGTTCCAGGTGTACTAAGGTTACAGCTAGGTTCCTGATGTCCCTGCCAGCACATTGCCAGCACATCTGGTGGGCCTCAGACTAGGGAAGGCTGCTAAAGGCAATGGTTTTCTGGTACAGTGCTAGGCAACTCATTCACATTCACATACATGAAGTGAAGCAGAAGAGATTTGTTCTCCAGAGACCTTCCTTGCAAGCACCATCCTTAAATAACTGAGTAGGAAGAGCAGAGAAAGACAGAGTCCACTAAGAGGCTCTACCATCTCAAAATGCTTCCCAATTTTAGATTAGCCTAGTTTTCTTCCTACATTTCCTGTGGAAGTTTTCTTCTTTTTCTATGATAGTTTCTCCTTGTGGAGAGGATTTCTCTGTTCAGCTGTATATTAATAGAGAAACTGAAATCATTGACTTTAAAACAAAATAAGAACAACATAAATCAGTTTAAACCTTGCCAAAGCCAGCCTCAAAGTTCAGGGTATCAAACTCACAGCCTATAGGCTGCATGTGACCCTCCAGGTCATTTTGTGGGGCCCACAACCTGAATCAAGGCACCGTTACAACTTAGGACAGTGGTATTCACGGGTGATGAGGGGTGGGAGGTGGCAAGGCAGGACAGAATGATAAAAACAGTGTTATGGCATTGTGCTGCAAGCCACACCCCTTTTGTATGTATATTATGATATCGCAAGCACATATGAAATTGAAGGAGCTTATGGGTTGATGAAAGCATCTACCTCCTGCAGATGCCCATAGCTCAAGATGGAGCCTAACATCTCACTGTGCCTGAAAAAGGCTGAACCAGGAGCATATCCTTGCTCCTGCTACTTGGGCAGGGATAACAGTCCATCCTCTGCTTTGGAAGGTGTATTCTCTTCCTAACCATGATTGCTAGGGTTTACTCAGAGATGCCACCCCATCGCTGTTTCCCACCTCTGCCCTCTTTCTTCCCATTCTCTTACACCTGATTAATAGCTGCAGAGCACAGAGAGGCCCCGAGCAGTGCCATTCTTGCTCTGCTGCCCCCATCTCGCTGAGTGGGGGGAATGAAGCCACTGGGAGGGAAGTAGCCATTTGTGGCAAGGAACTTTAGCACAGCAAGCAGGCATTCTTACTTGTCCACCACACACTTTTAAACTCCCTCCTTCTCAGCAGCTTCTCTCCCAACACCTGGAATGCGAAAATGGCTTTCCCATTAATTATAAGTGAGAAATACCAAATGACAATTGCTTTTTTTTTTTTTCCCCTGTGGGACAGAATTTAATCAATTTTTAGCCTACTTTGCATTCAACGTAATCTGAAATTGAGCTAGATTTGGAGAAATTATACCACTTTATGAGAGGGTGAAATACGCCAACATGAAGACAAAACATGACTTTTTTTCCTTTGAGAACTGCCAATATAATTTTTTATTTATTGGTAGAATTGGAACCAATTTTCTAGCAATAATTGCTTCTTGTGAGGTGATAAACTCTGCCAAATTTTAGAAGATTCAGTTCAAGGGTTTTATGTTGTAATTCAACAACAACAAAACCAAATATTGGTTAGTGGAAAAGGTTGCCAGGTAAATGGCCAAAATGAAGTGGCAGAAAAGTAGCCCAGTTTCACCATAAAGTTAATTTATGCCAGATTGCAGAGTTTGATACTCTTTTTGATTTATAGAGACTTTTGAGCAAAGTAGGGAAAAGCTCCAGTCTTTGGCTAATACTGATCTTAGGATGATCTGAGTTTGAATCTCTGCTCTAAGTAAACCTGCTCCCTCTTTTTGGCACCTTCTAGCCTGAAAGAAATAGTGGCCAGGAAAGCACGGACATAAGTTTGAGACAGAAATCAGACAGGTTTCATTCACAAGACTCTTCAGAGTAGATTACAGAGGGAATTGCCTCGAAATCCAGGCTACTACGGGCTTCTAGTTTTCTGAAAAACCTCGCCACCCATTCCCGCCCCTTTCAAGCAAATTCTTCAGTCGTTCCCACCACGCGGAAACACATCTCCTTCCACCTGCACGCGGCTCGCCAACGCCTCGAGGCGGCTGTTTGGAGGGGCGCGCGCGCGGCCAAACTTCGACCCTCGCCCCCTTCTTCCTCCCGTTGCCCCCTGGCTCAGGAGGGGGCGGAGCCTGAGCAGCGGCGAGGGCTTTCAGGCGCCCCGCCTCCTCTTCCCCCGCCCCTCATATCCGGCGGGGAGGGGGGAAGTCG